AAGCCCAGACAGGGACTGGTCAGTTTCATTGTTGATTCTGGACCAACACTATTATGATGACGTAGGAACACCAATACAAGGATATCAGATCATACATAAAAAATGCTGTATATGTTAAGTTTCTTACATACTTTGTTTCATATTAAAATAAATAGATCTAGCTCCTCAGCACAGTGTCCTTTGTTATTAAAATGGTTCCTTGAGTCATGTGTTTGTTCTTCTGTGGCACTTCTGTAGGTGTTGGCTTTGGTGTTTATCAGGAAACTGATGGACTGTGTCTTCACCAAGAGAGAGCTAAGCTGGTTGGATGACCTCATGCCAGAAAGCAAGAAGAAGAAACTAGAGGATGCTGAAGAGGTGTTTTTTTTCCCCTTCCTTTCTAAACAAATGGCAATACACTAATATTTTGTTACTATTTACATGGCTCTAAAATGAGTTGCTTTCATCTATTCAACCTTCAGGAGGACGAGGAGCAGAGTATATTGGCAGAAGATGACGGAGTAGAGCAAGTGCCATTAGAAGGGTATAAGTAAGTTTTAGGGGCAGCATTTAAATGCTTTTGTAAATGTTGATATTCATATGGACTATATAAGTGAATTTGTGTGTTGTATTTTTTAGAGGAATACCCATCATCAACATCACAGATGAAATGTCCAAAGGTTCTTTTGGAAATACTTGGAATGCCAGTGGTTGAGATACTTCAAAAAGAAAACAATATGGTAAGAATATTCGCATTGCATATTTGCAACATTTTCATACTTGTAAATCCAGTGCAGGAACTAGTTGTGCATCCACACACATACACAAATATATATATATATGCTATAATTATTATTTTAGCATGATGCCATGATACATTACATTGTATATGCCACATAGATGTTGGCACTCACGACAGTTTTCATGCAATTTCACCGAGATTGGTCCATTTGTTTAGGTGGACATGCATACATACAAAACTCATTAGAGCTAACAGTTAGTTTTGCATTGACTGTTTATTTTTTACACGTAGAAGAATATTTCTATACATGGCACAGTTTAGATGGTCAAAAGGAACAGGATGAAGTTTAGACTTAATGCTATGATCCCACTCCCCCTTTATAGTGACAGTGATGGCAATACTTTTTATTGTGAATTTTTATTCCAAATTCAAAAATTGAATAATTTATGTTTCAGGATTTTAAGATTTAATACAGTAATTTTGCAAAATATGTTCTCAGGCTTAAAAAAATAAAACAAAAAAAATTCTCACTCTAATATTTTATTGGGCTGCCTTTCTGGCATTGTTTCGATAAGCTCATGCAATTTTACAACATTTATTTCTGTCCAGAGTTGCATTAATTTCTCGCCAAGATCTCATATTGATGATGGAAGTCAGACCGCTGTGTAAAGTCTCCTCTGGCAAATCCCAAATGATTCTCAATGGTGTTAAGGTCTGGACTCTGTGGTGGCCGGTCCATGTGTGAAAATTATGTCTTAAGCTCCCTGAAACACTCTTTCACTCTGGTTGATGAATCCTGGCAGTGCCATCTTAGAATATGCCCATGCCATTGGGGAGTCCAGATAATTAGCTGACCTCACCTAGACCAGATCATAACAATGACCCACAGGCTTTTGTCGTGTACACTAGGCATGATGGGTGCATCACTTTATCCACTGGGGCTTTTATGCAAAAAGACCATCAAGTTAGAAATTTTTTGAGCCTTACATGATTGTAATATGAGCACACTGTGGGCAAAGCTGTCATCGCCAAAGAGAGCTGATGTTGGTTAGGTACAGTGTTTTTATTTATTTATTTTTGTTCTTGTAGCTCCATGAGACTAGTACCATTTATTTGATCATATTCAAAAGTCAGAAAGGCAATAGTTGAATGACCTCACTAACATTCAGATGGATAAATAACACCATGAGTCGGAGAAAAGGAATATGCAAAATCACTTTAGGTAAGCCGTCGATTTAAAGATGGTTATGTTTACATATTTACTACTTTTACACATTTTTATATCTTTTCTCTTTGGATTCTGATAGTTACACCGCTCTCAGCATTTCTCCACAAGTACAAATAAAAGCTGGAGAAGATGGAAGTCAGTGTGGACAGCATTACGACTCTTTGTCATTGTTCCGTCTGTGTTTTCAAACAAATCTACATTGTGTGTTTCATATCATCAATCCTTCAAGTTTAGTTTTGCAGATCTCTGTAAGTAAAAAAACTGCTTTATCTGATGTATCCCGGTTATTATGAACTAATAGAACCTGCTATCTAATTTTCTCTTGTTGTTAACATCTAACCCTATATACTGTTTGGATTTACTGAATGTAAACCACAGAAACATACATTTCTGCTGTTTTTGGAATAGGACCATTTTGAATTTTACGTAATGATTTTAATTCTGTGGAACCAAAACCAATAGCTCTTTGTACCAAAATGGTAATAATTTGTATGAGAAAATATTTAGCTATATTTATATTGTCATTTATTTTATGGTATTTATTTTATATTTGTTTTGTGTTTGCTACAAAATACATGGTAGTCTAACAAAGACGTGTGTGTGTGTGCATATTGTTTTTATTGTAAATGTAAACTATACTCAAAGTATCCTGTGTTTAATGGTTGTATAAAGTTATGAATCATGAATTTTAAAGGCATCTAGCCATCTACTGTTACATTTCAATGAAGAATTGAGGGTTATTCGATTTTTAAAATCAAATAATAGTTTTGTGTATAACTTGTCAGTGTGCTACACTAAATAAATTTCTATAAGCATTCTTGTTTATCTTGTCAAAGTCAAACTTATGCTCAAATGAAATTTTTAAGGAGGTCAACAATTCTGTTTCTCTGTTTATCATTTTTGATTTAGCAAAACTTGATGCATTAAACACTGAATAACTGCAAAAGCTTTGAGTGCATTTTAGAATTTGAACATTCATAGCATTTTATAATAAGGCCGGTGACTAGAGTTTTCATTTTTCTAGATTTAAATAATTACTTAATTTAAGATTTAAATAAAATTTTATCTGTAATTAGAATGTAATTATATTTACCTACAACTATGGTAGATACACTAGAATTTAAATACCCTAGCAACCACAAATAAACCAGCAGTCTGAGATCCAACTGCTCTATTGGGGTGATTTAGTACCATGAGGTCTTTAAGATAAGATGGGGCCTGATCATTAAAGATCTTGTATGTCATGATAAGGATTTTAAATTTAAATTTGATTCTGGATTTAACAGTGAGCCAATCAAGAGAAGCTAATATGGAAAAAATATGCTCACTCTTTCTTCTAATCCCTGGAAGTCTTATATTGCATGTAGCTCATTTTGGCTGAATCTAGTCAGGCCCCATGAGCTAAGACTCAACCACAAGATGCTTGCTGAGCCTCTCCCCGAGACCTGGCTTCAGGGCTAAAGCCCGGCAACCTCAATCTAGGTGAGGTAACTGTTGTTGTAACTGTCTGTTGTTGACATTTCCATAAAGGTTTTGTAAATTGCACCTAGTCTGGTTGTTCACCTAGGACCAGATTTATATATGCATGCATATAGTGGGTTGTACTTGTTGTATTTGTGGGCATATGCTAATATATTCTTGTGATGACTAATATTGTTATATATATCCTATATATCCTCCTGAGGACCAGTCTATTCATTTATGTCATCTGTAATGGACTTTATTTGGTCTGTGCCTTTTGACTTATTTGAGCTACCCTAGTAAGTCCTGATGTATTAAATACAGGACATCCTGGGCTTTCCATTGATGTCTCATGTGTTTGGGTGGCCTTTTTTAGAGGAAGGAAATCACCAAAAAAGTTCAATGGCAAAATTCTTTTTCCTCGGTTATAGGATATAGTGTACTAATAAAGCATATTATTAACACGTGAGGCAATATTATGGAATGAAATAACATGTCTGTTTACATACATATATAAAAATATAAACACATTTACACATATATTGATGTGTACTATACATGTATACAGGCACAAACATACACATATATCCATACACTCAAAAACGTATGTCAGAGGATCGATAGATAATATTAGTTTGCTGCACATAATGCTTTCATTTGAAATGCCAGTGGCAATTTTACTTATATAACACATTTGATCATTTGTGTTAAACAATGCATTTTATTGTATGCTAACACAACGCTCTTAACAATGAGCTTAACATAGAAGATAAAAACGTAAAAACCAGTGTAGGTTTTCAAGGATAGGGCAGAGATATCCAGTGTCAGTGATGCTGAAAACATTTGCCCATTTTTAACCTTGACAAATTTTGGCTCACAAGTAAACTGGAATGGGCTGAGGATTACTGTAATCAACAGATGGTTTGATGTGCTACAGATGACAGCTTAGAGAGGTGGCCTATCCCAAAGCGTGTCAAGCTGCTGGCTCATGCAAATTACTGTTTTGTCTCAGTGCCAGGAGGAACTCAAGAGTGTCGACCCAGTCATTTCTCCCAACGAGATACTTATGTGATTGACGTGATTTTCTTTCATTTAGCATAACCATCCTTGGTGTGCAGTCTGAGCACTGCTTGAAAATCCTCCTCCAGTGAACAGCTGACAGGTGACATATCATCATTTTACCTGGTAAAAAATACCACAGCTTATTTCTCCCTCTGGAGTAACGTGTTCATTGATTTTTCTTCTACCTCCATAAACACAAGGATTAAGGGAAGGTGACAGTGGTGCAAACAATCAAATCACATTTTCTTTTAGCCAGTGACTATATCACTGGACCAAAATGTTATGTTGTGCTTATATGTAACTTATTTACTAGTCAGCGAATATTGATTCAAATGACCACACAACTTTTGTTCTGTTCTTGATGGCCAATAATGAGTGTATCTTTTGTCTAAAGCATGATATTTATATATTCTCTGACTTCTAGACCTCATGCTAAGACTTGTTAAACCACCTCATTGGATTCAATTATTTAGAAAGGAAAGCCATGGATTGTACATATTTCTTTATTGAAAACTAAATGTATTTTTTTTCTGAATAATAAGAAAAAAGCATTAGACTATTGACAGATGTAATTAATAAACTTGAAGTTCAAACCAATAACGTGATTTTAAAAACGAAGAAAAAAAACTGAAATGTGAAAAAATTAAATCATGTCATGAACGCTTGATCAGACATCTGACACATTTTAAAATTTCCTTTAACAATTTAAGGCCAACAGGGCTTCTTGTGAGGGCATTTAATATCTTACCAAGAAAAAAATCTAGTACAGACTGCAAAACATATAATGGCACAGAGTCAGTGAGAATGGTTGCATTATTTTGGGAAATGGCAAAAGCTGGATCTCTTCAATCTCTTCTCCCTCGGCCAGTCTTCAGCCAGGACACAAACTCCTTGGCTGCCTGGTCTTGCAGGTAGGAACTCACATCGCTGGTGTAAGTGCCGTCTGCATGGCGTCTCCTGTGTGAAGAAGTCACAATAGCTGCATATGTAACTGTGGTGCGACAGACCAAAAAACCCCAAATCCAATTGGGTACATTGAACATGACTTGGAATCATTTTGATTTAGGTTAAAATCACAAACGGAAACAAGAGAAGCAATCTACAGAACGAATGCAGTTATATTTAGACTTTAGACTGTCTTTTACAAATTTAAAGGCACAAACTTACAAATTTGTGTCTTTAGAAAAACAAAAAAACAAAAAACTGTGACACTCACCCATTCCTTTTTGAGTTCTTCAGCCACTGGACAAAGTCTTGTGCTCTTCTTGTCTCCAGGTATTTGCTGTAGTCGTTGGAAAATGTTCCCTCTGAATGTCTCTTCATGTTTTGGATCTCAGTGGGTTCGTTGAGGATGGAGTTTTCAGTCAATAGCCTAAAAAAGTGATGCATTATGAAAAATAAGTGAACAGAGCTAATGTACGCTCACCATTGCAATAGCCTGGAGTCCCCTGCTTCTTACAAGTTAACTCTTTATT